CCAATGACCTGGATCTTTAAGTAATTGTATCATCTTGGTCTGGGTGCTTAGTCTGGTGGTCTAAAGTTGTTTTTTGATAGAGTTCTGGCCTATTTTCTAACCAGCAGCCGGTCTCCACTGGCCAAATTTGGCCATACTGGCTGTTAAGAATGGAGAACCAGGTCCCCCTTGGCGGCCCCTAATCGTGTAACAATGACACACAGCACTCTTCTTAACACTATGACCGAGCATATCCCCAAAGGGGATCTCATTTGAGCCAGTTCTTGAGCACTTTTAATGGCCTCATAAACACTGTTTGTGGTCAAAAAGTGACCGAAAACTCATAGATCTACTATGTAGGATCAGTACTAAATACTGGGCTTCAAAATTAACCGTGATTTTACTAGTAACGGTTAACGCACTTTATATCGAATTAACTGGTATTCGATGCGTCACCCTCTACTCTAAATTATGACCCCTGGTACCGTACGTTACGTACATACGTACGTACATACGGAACGGGACGGGACGAATTTAATTTTGAAAGGTAGTGGTGACGATTCGAATCATCCGATTCAAAGTTACTTCATCGATTACTTCCTACCTCTTTACTCACGAAAAAATAAAATTCCACAGTACCTTGATTTTGGATGTTGAGAGAGGAACTCGAGAGCTGTACGACCTCCACTACGAGTACTCCAACCTTACTGTACGGATAGGATTTTTGGTTCCGTCTGCTGTTAATTCACTCTTTGCGAGAAGGTAACACTTGAAAGACCGCCCATTCAATACTCGAAAGAGTCGATATACTAATAAAACTGCAACATGTCTAAGCTTAACTCTGCGCTCCTCGAAAAAGCCGTCAACGACATCCTAGCCTATTCCGCTGGCGAAGATGTCAAAATCAACGGACAAGACAAGACCGGAAAGAAGAGGAACTTTGTGGAAACCATCGAAGCCCAGATTTCCTTGAAGAACTACGATCCTGTTCGTGACAAACGTTTCTCTGGTACCTTCAAGTTACCTACTGTCCCTCGTCCCAACCTCAAGTGTTGTGTTTTGGGAAACGCTGCTCACTGCGAACAAGCGGATCGTATTGGTGTCGATCACATGAGTGTTGAGGATTTAAAGAAACTGAACAAGAACAAGAAATTGGTCAAGAAGCTAGCCAAGAGATACGATTTCTTCATGGCTTCCGACAACATGATCAAGCAGATTCCGCGTCTTCTTGGTCCTGGTCTCACCAAGGCAGGTAAATTCCCCACCCTCATTTCTGGAGGTGATGATATGCAAGAAAAGATCAATGAAGTGAAGGCCACCATCAAGTTCCAGATGAAGAAGGTCATGTGCCTCAATGTTGCCGTCGGTAACGTCAGCATGGATGCGAAGCAGATCATCGTTAACACCCAGCTGTCGGCTAACTTCCTTGCAAGTCTTTTGAAGAAGCAGTGGCAAAACATCGGAGTGATCTACATCAAATCGACTATGGGTCCCGCTATTCAAATTTACTTCTAGACTTCGAGATTAATCATTAAGTCACTATTTTGGAAGATAGTTCATCAGTTTATATTAGGCTTCGACACAAATTCTTGAATGAAAAGCAATGATGTTCTGACGTGTTACTCAGCTTCCATCTAGCTAAGGTGTGTTCTTCAATTAGGTGGCTGTGTAGATGGGGGGTTAGGTACTTGAGCCTCAGAGATTGGAGCAAAGGGTGTTGTCATCTGGCATAAAATTTATGCAACAGCATTACAAAAAAGACTAGTTCAGGGGGTGAATGCAAAGCAAACTTCAGAGTGGATAGAGCACACTTCAGTGCATTCTTATTCAGATAGTAAGAGGTCTGGAGCAAATGGACTACTACCAACACTTTATAGGCCTTGGAGCAAGGTTGATCCTGTCATCTGACACAAATGTTCGAAACAATAGCATGACAGAAAGAACTTGAAATGGTATTTGCACCATTGTGGAATCAGAGGAGGAATAAAGCAGCTTTCCAAACTTGGGGTCTCCTGGGGGCTTCTTGCAATAAAATTGAGTAAACCTGGACCAAGGTTGGGAATAGGGCTTGGGTTGTGATTGTCCTATAGGAATGTCTGAAACAACAGCATTGCAGATGGAAATGTTGGTGATAGGAGATAATTTCAAAGTGAGTATAGAGCATACATTTCAGGAATTGTTCTTCAGGGGAAAGGTGTGCTGATGGGGTAAACCTTGGTGATGGGTATTGGGGGCTGGCGTTGAAGGTGGTATCATTGAACATGAATGTCAGGTACAACTCCATTACAACAGCTGTAGTAGTAGATAGTAGATAGCAAAGTTGCTGCCAAAACATAGATGGAATCAGAGTTGACAAGCATTACAACATTGGGAGGAGCTGGTAGCTGCTTCTTTGGATGATAGAGTGTCGTCCTAGGTCAAGGTCTAGGACAGAGTTGGAGTTTGGGTTGTTGGCTGACATGATGGATTGGAAATTAATGCTAAAGAGGTGACTCAAAGCTGAGTCTGAAGCATATTGTTTATCTGTGGCAGCCCAATAAAATACTCAAAAAGCACATTCTTACAGATATATATCTAAATAGTAGCAGTACTACTCCAATCCCCCACTCTCCCATATGACTGGAGTTATCTTTTGAATTTTTTAATTATTACTACCTCCGTCCCACAATAATAGGACAATATGCACCTCTTCAGTCAAAATAAGCTCAATATTTGGGCGATTTGACTGCTTCTTTTTTTGTTTAACAGATCTATTATAAACGTGTACAAGTATGTAGATCATATTGATTGAAAGTACATGAGGTACATGTGGTATTTAGTTAAAGAGGGCCATTTTTTCTTATCAATATGAAAATACCGGTTGAAAGGGTTCCAACGGTCATTTTGATACGCCACTACTTGCACATTGTGATAGCTAAGAGTGCCAAATTTTCGAGGCTGTACTTCTCTTCAGTATGGAGAACTTTCTTCTATTGGTCATTCTTGTTCAAAAGAGGTGCACCGGACCATTGTCAATGCAAACTTTAGTCCCCCGTTTTAATACAGTGTATTTTCAAGTGAAAAATAAAAATAATTTTTATTCATGCTGCGCATGCACATTTTTAGTTCTCAGTACTGATTCTAGGTGTTCTACACAGTCATACACAGTCATTTGTGGAATCCAACCGCCAAAAACTCCAAAAAACTGTTAAGTAATACTGACCCATTATTAATGGACAAATTGAGTACTGCATATTGTCCTATTATTGTGGGAAGGAGGTAGTATGTACTAATCACTGTTTAGTGATCATCAGGAACCAAGATATAGGGAGTTGTTAGAGTAAGTTGACTATTCTTAGTACTTAATTTCCTACCAAGTCTTTTGTTCTAATTGTAGTAGATTTTGATTTTGGGCAATCTTTTTAGTACTGTGTAATGACTCCTGAGTTTCAAACTCAAACCAAAAAGTGGTCCCAAAGCCAATGAGCACATCAGAGCAAAACTCAACTTGAGGGATTCAAACATTCAACACTGTACACATGCAAAGCACAAAATCTTTAGTTTTTTAGTCAAAGTAGTAGTAGGCATCACACCAAAAAAGGGCCCAGAATTTTTTTATATCCCAGGCATTGTTCTGTGTTGGAAAGGTTTGGAAACAATTGATTGGAATTTGGTAGGGGTTTATGTAGTTTTTGTCTGGCACAAATGTCAGACACAACAGCATATAGAGCTGGAGAATAATGCTAGAAGAGAGTTAGCCTTGAGCTGAAGCTTAGGACAGGATGAGCAATTTTTCCCTTTGGAAACAAGAAGTGTCATGGTGGATCTGGATATCAAGAAATCAGTAGGAAATCTAGGTGAAAATTTTCAGAAGCAACACATAATTTTGTGAATTACTTCTAGGAAGATTTAAGCCTTTGTAAAGAATAATTTAGAAAATTATGGAAACTGTTGAGTCACCACTCCCAACAATTCTCAATTGTAGTAGTAGTACTACTACTGGGTTGACTGATGCAAAACTAACCTTTTGTCTAAGAGGCCCCTGAAACCCACATGTCTGTCCCCCTTTTTTAAATTCCTCCCCTAGAAAAATGTGGGTTATTTCTGGTGAAAAATAACCCATGTTTTAGAACATGGATTTTTTAGGTGAAAAATAACCCACAATTCAGAGTCACTCTGCTGATGAATAAAGAACCAATGTAGTTACCTAAGTAATCATGTCATTATTTTGATGGAAAACTAGGATTAAGAATTGCAAGAATAAGAAGCAATTCATTTTTTGAGGAATTGATAAAGGCCCAAAAGATTTGTGGGTTATTTGTGCGTGTGGAATACTTCAACTTGCAAAAAAATCAGTTACTTCTTGTGAAAAATCACCCATATTCTTAAAATTTGGGATATTCTTGGTGCAAAATAATCCACATTGTTTGAACATGGGTTACAGTATTTTAGATGAAAATAACCCAAGAAATATTGCCCCTAAATTGTGTTTCTTAAAGGGGGTGCTTGCAATGGTTCCTAAGGGCTCAGGAATGACTCAATCAGATTGATTGATTGAAGACGACTAGGAACCATGTCAATTTTAACTCTTTGGGGGAAATGGATTCCCAAGTCCCCCTCCTGATGCAAAAAAATTGTGATCAGAAAAAAAAAATTGTGATCAACAAATTGTGATCAATCTTGATGACAATTTTTTGTCAATCTATGCAGAAGAATTTCCACTTGCACGAGATTACGTGTACTCTTGGTAGTAGGTGTTAAGTGTGTATGAAAATTGAATTATAAGATTAAGATTATCGAGCGCGTTCACGAGAATTCCGAAGTTCCGAT